ACACACCTGGAGGACCATATCACTGTCTGTAACGAATGTGAAGATAGTGGTGTAGCTTACTGCAGGTACAACTTGGACAGACCCTTTCCAAGGTAAGTAAGCTAATTCTAGAAGATAAAGCATTTCGTGAGAGTCGGCACTCCCAAGAGTCTTCTAGCTTAGAGGATGCTGTCAGTCTGTCAACCCACAAGAGTCTTAGGCCAATAAATTCATTTCAGGGTCAAACCAGAACACCCCATTCCTCTTCTCCTCCTCCTCCTCTTTCCTTCAGTCACTGTCTCTTTTCTCCTCCGTGGTTCCCACTCGGAATCCCTTTCCTTCCTCTACTTTCTTTCTCTGTTTGTTTTCTTGATTAAGGATCTACTTTCCCAATTCCTCGTCTTGCCTCTGTAGCGCCTTCAGTCACACTGACTCTGGGGACCGAAGGACCATTGGCCCTTCCCCTGTACACACCCTGCTGGTGTGCCCTGGACAATTTAGACCTAACAAGATGGTGAGTTAGACCTGGTTTTTGAAATGTATGCCCATCATGACATCACATCGTGACGCATGTATGTGGGCAGTCATGTTAAGCAGTCATTCCTAAAAGTTATTCATTCACTCATGTTACCTCATTATCTCTGGGGCTCTTCCACAGGCACAGAGAAATTAAAAATTCGGTCAGGGTCGCCCATCTTGAAAGTGGTGAAACTGAGACTTGAACCTTGGTCTTGAGCAGGCAGTACGTTTCCTGCAATAGTTTCTAGGTGAAGAGTCCTCTGCCATTCCTAGACTAAACCAGAAGCTGAATTTAAACTAACTACTTTAAAAAAATTTTTTTAATAAATAAATAAATAAATAAAAAGTACAATCAACAGCTTCATTGGGTTTTTGAAATGTATGCCCATCATGACATCACATCGTGACGCATGTATGTGGGCAGTCATGTTAAGCAGTCATTCCTAAAAGTTATTCATTCACTCATGTTACCTCATTATCTCTGGGGCTCTTCCACAGGCACAGAGAAATTAAAAATTCGGTCAGGGTCGCCCATCTTGAAAGTGGTGAAACTGAGACTTGAACCTTGGTCTTGAGCAGGCAGTACGTTTCCTGCAATAGTTTCTAGGTGAAGAGTCCTCTGCCATTCCTAGACTAAACCAGAAGCTGAATCTAAACTAACTACTTTAAAAAAATTTTTTTAATAAATAAATAAATAAATAAAAAGTACAATCAACAGCTTCATTGAGCTTATTGAATATCATTTTAAAAATATTTCTATTCTTTGCTGTTAGAGCCATATTTCCTAATGTTTGGAGAAATTTTGGATCCTTATTTCTCACTTACCAACAGAGGAAACTGAAAAATACAGGTTAACACTTTGGACAAGTGCTGTAGGCATAGAATATATCATTTTGGCCTAAAAAATATCAAAGCTACTTTTTAGCACTTAGCTACGTTGTCCTTTAAAATTCTTTACAGGGACTAGGATAAGAACCTGAGCAGGATCTATGTCTGATTTTAACTAGGTCCTAAGTCAGTGATTCTCAGAGTGTGACCTCCAAGATCAGCCTCATCTGGAACTTGCTAGAAATGCAAATTCTGCCTCCACCGCAAGACTAGTGAATTAGAAACTCTGAGAGTTGGGCCCAGCAGTTGGCTTTTAACAAGCTCTTCTCACCATCCCTGTGCGAAAGTTTAAGAATGACCAGTTTAAACCATCAAGAGAACTCTCTTTGCCAATTCAAATAAGAGGTAATATGTACCAACGCCAGAACCTCTGCTTGCGTGTGTCCCAGAAGTATTGCAAAAAGACATACTTTTTTTAAAGAATTATTTTTATTTAACTTTTTAAATTTAATTAATTTATTTATTTTCATTTAACCAGAGAGGGACGGAGAGAGAGAAAGAGCAAAAGAGAAAGAGAGAAAGTGAGAAAACAAGCCTCCAGGTCCAGGACTCGAACAGTGGTCAGTCACATGGGAGTTCACGCCATCTGCCGACCCCAGAAGACATACATTCTTAAGTAGTGTTTTGTCTTTAGACTAGTTGTGCATAGAATTCACTTGATTCTCATGCAGAATATCCTGAAGCTAGAAGGAGAAAAAGATTGGTAATGTCCAATAATGTAATGGGTTTCCCCCAAAAATGATGGGGAGAACAGTAGATTCTCTTTCCGAAGAGAGAATACAGCCTGCATGTTTGTGGAGGGTAAATGTTTTGGCAAAAATTGCGGCCTACTCTTTAAAATGAATTCTAAAGAATTCTCAAAACTGATTATGTCAACAAACTTTTGTTTGCATTGGTGATTTTTTGTTTGTTTGTTCGCTAGAGAGACACCCCTTGGGGGGATGGCCACGCCACAATCTCTTCTCCATTCTCCTCTCAGGATTTTGGGCATGCACGCACATGCACACAGCTTGAGTTTCAAGCCACGGGGTCTGGGACTCAAACTGCAGTCAACCATGTGGGAGTCCAGCGCCTTAACCACGACTCTACCTGCTGGCCCCAAGACATACATTTTTTTTTCTTTTTTTTTTTTTTGGAGAGGTTTTTGCTATAGGGTGCGTGTGCTCGTCAGACAGACAGAGAGAGAAAGAAAGACAGAAAGTGAGAAATCACCCCCCCAGAGGGGGCGGCCACACCACAATCCCTTCTCCTCCATTCTCCTCTCGGGATCTTGGGCACGCACGCACACGCGCCTGGTGTGAGTTTAAGCCACCGAGTCCGGGACTTGAACCGTGGTCGACTACGTGGGAGTCCAACGACATAGCCATTATGCTAACTTCCGGTCCCAAGACATACATTCTTAAGTAGTCCTTTGTGATCAGACTAGTTGTACATAGAATTTACTTGATTCTCTTGCAAAATATCCTTATGTCTGTTAGAAGAGAAAAAAAGGTTGATAATGTCCGATAATGTAATGAGTGTTCCCCCAAGAGGTGGGGAGAAAAGTAGATTTCTCATTAGAAGAGAAAATACTGCCCGAGTGGTTGTTAAGGTTAAATGTTTTGACAAAAATCATGACTTACTCTTTTTTTTTTTTTTGGAGAGGATTTGCTACAGGGTGCATGTGCTCACCAGAAAGACAGAGACAGAGAGAAAGAAAATGAGAAATCACACCCCAGGGGGATGACCATGCTACTCTCGGGATCTTGGGCACGCACGCACACGTGCCTGGCATGAGTTTAAGCCACTGGGTCCAGGACTCAAACTGTGGTCAACTGCATGGGAGTCCAACAACAAAACCATTATGCTAACTGCTGGTCCCAAAAATTTTGACTTCCTCTTTAGGAGGAATGCTAAATAATTCTCAAAATATTATGTCAACACACTTTTGCTAGCATTCGTAATTTTTTGCTTTGTTTTGTTTTCACTTATGCCGTAGAGTGTGCACGCTTGCTGGAGAGGGACAGAGGGAAAGTGAGAAATCAACCCTAGAGTGGATGGCCTCACCACAATCTCTTCTCCATTCTCCTCTCGGGATTTTGGACACACACACACACACACACACACACACCTGGCATGAGTTTCAAGCCACTGGGTCCGAGACTCGAACTGTTGTCAGCCATGTGAGAGTCTGGCACTTTAACCACCACACCACCTGCCGGCCCCAGCACTGGTGATTGTAAGACAGTTTGAACAATTGGAAGACTATGGGAGCTAGAAAATGTAGCAGGAATACCATCGGACAATAAGGCAGGATAAAGTGACTCAGTCATAAAAGGGGGCCAACGGGACAGCCCGCACAGGAAGTAAGGAAGCAGGCCTGGGGGATGAGGACGGCGGAGGGGGATGAGCTAGTGCTGAGGGAAGTTGACCCAGAGGGTGTGAGCCATTAGGACTGACCCAGCAAGGTCTTGGGTTTGGCCATCGCCCACAGGCTCCCAGGGAGATAAGGCAAGGAGCCAGAGGGGAAAGGGGGCTTGGAGAGCAGGGGTGAGGAGTCCGCAGTGGGCAGGAGGCCTCCGTTGAAAGAGACTTTGCCAGGCCCCCAGCCACCTTCCCCAGTGGGTGAGCCCTCACCATCCCCTCTCCTACTTCCAGCCAGGAATCTCTCCTGTTCCAACCACGATGGCAGTCCTGCCGCTAGAGGAAAGAGAAGGCAAAACGAGCAGAAGCCGGAATGTGGCCAGTCCTCCAGCTTACTGCAGCGGAGGAGTGAAAATGCTTCGGGAACGCATAGGGTTTGGGCAGACACGGGCCACGTTTCTGTCACGTCCCCCAGTGCCAGCCATTTGTAGTGGTTCCACGTTCCTGTGCGGGGTGCTACAAACCAGGCCGTGTGCAGTGGGGCCAAGGATTCGCAGCCCCTGTCTGTCATACACCCCTGGGGAGCAGGGACGGCAGACACATCTTCCCGGTTTCCAGAAGAGACATTGGATCGCGTTCCTTCTGCTTGGAATTAGGGGAGTTCTCTTCTGGTCTAGCTGAGACCTAATGGATGCCTTCACCGTGGGTGAGGCTCGACATCACGAAGTCACACGGATGACTTGGGTCCGCGGATGCAGGGAGACACGCCTGCTGTGCTTTTGTCCAGCGTGGGAGCGTGATCCCATACCCAGCGGTGGGCTGTGTCGGGCGGAAAGGCCTGCGCTCCCCAGCCTCAGCCTGAGCTTCCTGAGGGCCGGACCTGAGCCCCGAGAGCTTTGCCTTACCTTCCGCTTCCCTTACCAGAGTCCCCCAGGAGGAGGGCCTTGGCTATGGCGTGAATGCATGTTTAAACTTTTCCCTGACCTGCAGCTGCGCCTGACGCGGCCCTCTGCCCTCTCCAGGGTCTCAGGAGAAGGGCTGGCCCTCCAGGTGCCCTGCAGGGGCCTGGAGTGTAACCACGGGCAGCAGGGACTGCTGGCTAACGAGCAAGGGCCCCTGGTTGCCCCTCAGTGAGGAGCCGGCACAGGTCGGGGGGCCCGAGTGCACAGGTCTCAGGTCCCAGAGGCTGCGGGGGCAGCTCTGAGCTCCAGGCGGCCGGCCATGCCCAGGCTCTGCCCGGCTCCTCTGAGCCTCTGCCCGCTTCCTTCCAGATCACGCGGCAGCAGTACCAGAACGCGCTCACCGCCTGCCACATGGACAACTCGCCCCAGTCCCCCGACATGGAGGCCTTCACTGACGGAGACTCCACCAAGGCCCCCACGACCCGGGGCACACCCCTGACCCCCAAGGACGACCCTGCTGTCATGCTCCTAAACAACAGGAGCAGCCTGCCGTGTAAGTGGGTGACAGCCGGGCTGCGGGGCGAGGACCACCCCGCCTTCCTCCCACGGCCCTGCCAGGCTGCCGCCCGTGCCTCTCAGAGCCCCAGGTCTTCTCCAGAGCAGAGGTGACGCCCTCGCTGTCCTCCCCAGGCAGCCGCTCGGATGGGCTGAGGAGCCCTGGCGAGGCCGTGTACCTGAGGATGGAGGAGATGGCCTTCACGCCAGAGGAGACGGCGCCCTCACTGTCACCTGCAGCTGCTCCCACAAGAGCAGGTCAGAGAGGGAGGGTGGGCCCCCGGGCGAGAGCAGTCGTCACCTGGGTGCTGGCCTGGCCCAGGGCCAGCTGGGGAAGGAGAGCCCCGGGACCCTGACCCCATGTCCCCTCCTGGACAGCCAGGGTGGGGGACACGAACCCTGCCTCAGCACCCGCTGAGCGTCTGGCCTGTCTCATCCTCCTCCCTGGAAAACCGTGTCAGGCTTTCTGCGTGGGCTTCTGCCTGGCTTCAGACCCTGCTCTTTTCACTTAGGAGCTGTGTGATTTTAGGCAAGTTATTTAACCTAAGACTCAGTTTCCTTATCTTTTGTTTTTTAAGTTGATTGATTGATTGATTGATTGATTTTTATTTATTTATTTTTTGGAGAGGTTTTCGCTATAGGGTGTGTGCACTTGCCAAACGGACAGAGAGAGACAGAGAGACAGAAAGCGAGAAATCACCCCCCCAGGGGGGATGGTCACGCCGCAATCCCTTCTCCTCCATTCTCCTCTCGGGATCTTGGGCACGCATGCACACGCGCCTGGCGTGAGTTTTAAGCCTCCGGGTCCGGGACGCGAACCGCGGTCGACTATGTGGGAGTCCAGCGACACAGCCATTAATTACGCTAACTGCTGGTTCCCAAGTTGATTTATTTATTGAGAGAGAAGCGGGGGCCCCCAGTGGTCTCTGTAGCACTACCTGCCTTCCAGCCCTCTACCAGTCAGGGCCGCAGGAAGGCCTGGCGTATTTGGGTGGGCCTGGAGCCGAACCTTGGGCCCGCCCGTGTGGCTGCAGTATGGTGCAGCAGGGCCCTGCCGCCTGCACCACCACGCTGGGCCGGCTCCCGTACGTGACCGAGGGAAGTCGGCGCCAGCTCATGCGGTGGGTCGTGTGTGCGTGAGACGACTCTCGTAGAGGGCGCACCACAGCGTCCCGGGCTGTGGCGTCGAAGTAGATCTCACAGACCCGCAGACTGGAGCCAGCCATCACGCTGACCAGCAGGGTGCTCGTCCCCTCCCTCCCGGCCTGGAGACCAAAGGCCTGAAGTCTCAGACCGTGCCGCTCCCTCTGAGACTGCATGTCTCTGCCTTGGCTGTGGTGTGGCTCCCAGCCCCCATGTCCTAGCCATCCTGAGGTCCTCCTGGGCTTGCCTCTCTGAGGTATTCCTACCGAGCCCTCAGCCGCCCCCTGCCCAGGCCAGCAGGTCTCCCACCTGACCTTTCAGACCCACCCCAATCCGTAACAGGAGTCCCTAAAGTCCAGAGCGATAACCTGAAAAGTGCACTTAGATGTTTTCAATTATTTTATTCGATTTTATTTTTTATTATTATTATTTCATTTGACCAGAGCGAGGGGGGTGTGAGAAAGCAAGCCACCTGATCCAGGACTGGAAACGTCGTCAGCCAAGTGGGAGTCCAGCAACTTAATCATAAAAATCCTAAGATTTTGAAGGTCAATGAGACACAGCGCTTGCCCTTGTCACTAACCCAGAAAATCTGGGATGTACGTGGCGGCTGTTCCAGGACCCGAATGTGGGGCCAATGTTCTCTCCCACACACACCAAGCTAGTAGCCAAAGCACAGAGCAGGAAAATGCAGTCGGGAACTGAGAGTGGAGGTGATGGGGTAGTTCCTGGGGATCATCCAGCCCTCCCTCTGTGTGACATGCGGACCTTTGAGGCCTGGAGAAGGGAAATGATCACCCAAGTCCAAATACTGCATTAGAAGCAAGCCGGCCTCACCACGCTTGGAGGTGCCATTTCCAGCATGCCACTCTGCCTCCCCGGTGGGTGCTCATGGCACTGGCGGTGAGACCCGGACCCCATCCCGGCCTGAGCCTGGGGCCCTCTGCACCTCCTCTGGGTCCTGTGGAGAGGACGGGGGCATGTGCTTAATTGTTCTGGAGCCTGGCCTTCCAAGTAGAGGAGGGACACATCCTCGCCTGTCCCCAGATCGCTACGTGTGACATGGATGTGCAGCAGAGGACTTAGCGTTCTCTGCCCCTCTCTCTCACCAGGGAGGGAGTGATTTCAGCATGGATGCATGGGTTTCCTCCTGTTCTTGCTGTTCCTCTGAGGTGCCAGAGTGCCATTGCTGACTAGGTAGGGCCAGCACCGTCGGACTCCCTCCCTCGGTGCATCCATCCCACCCCAGCTCTGGTCTTGAACTTCCTCCTGCTGGGGCCCAGCACCCACAGCCATCCTGCCCCGAGCCCTGTGCGCGAACGTTTGAAACACTTGAGCTCTCTCTCCTTCCCCTCCCTGCAGCGTCAGACAGTGACTGCTGTAATGTTAACCTGGATGCAGAGACCAGCCCTTGCAGTAGCGACTTCGAGGAAACCATGGGCAAGAAACTGCTGAGAACCTTGAGTGAGTAGCTAACGCTTCACCCAGGCAGAAGCCATCCTGCAGCCAGTTAGTAGGAGACGCACATCAGAATCATCTTGGGGGACCAGCAGTTGGCGTAATGGCTATGTCGTTGGACTCCCATGTAGTCGACTGCAGTTCGAGTCCCAGACCCAGTGGCTTAAACTCATGCTGAGTGTGTGTGCGTGCGTGCCTAAGATCCCAAGAGGCGAATGGAGGAGAAGGGATTGCAGTGTGGCCATCCCCCCCGGGGAATGCTTTCTCCCTTTCTAGCTCTCTGTCTCTGTCTTTCTGGCGAGTGTGCATGCCCTATAGTAAAAAAAAAATCGTATTATCCTCCTCTTGGAGGAGGATCGCTGATGCTTCTGGATCCTAGTGAAGTACGCATGTGTCCCGGGGCTGGGACTGCACCCGTGCTGACCTGCGGTCTGCCCCTTCGGCTGTTGGTCCTCCACGACAGGAGTGTGCAAACCATGCCTACCGATCACGTCTGACCTCTCCTCCACTCGCTTATTCTGCGGTCTTTTCGATCGTGGACCCGTTTGTTACCTGTAGCAACAGTGACAAGGTTGAGTAGTTGGAACAGAGACCATATGGCCTGCAAACCTGTGACATTTACCATCTAGTCCTTTAAGAGAGAATGTGTGTCCAGGAGACTGAGTAGGAAGGAAACCAGAATCCTCCGTGTAGAGAAGTCAGTGGTAAAGAGAGTAAGGTATCCTGACAACAGAGCTGGGAACAGATGGCCTTCTTGTCCTTAAAGACAATCATGTAGCCCTCCCCTCCTGCAGAGGTTGCTGGAGCTAGGAAATGTAGGTCCCAGCTCTACCCACCAACCCAGGCTCCCGAATCGTCCAGCCCTGAAAGCAGATCTGTCCCAGAGCGTGTCCTGATCCTGAGGTACATGGCTTTATATAATCGCCTCAGGGAAACTACGAATCCAGGCACTAGCCTGAACTTGTAGTTACTCAGAGATGTCATTTTAAAAACATTTATTGTTTACTTGATTGTTTATTTATGTTAATTTGCTATAGGGCATGTGTGCTCACCAGAGACAGAGACAGAGAGGAAAAGTGAAAAAGCGAGCCACCAGGTCCAGGACTTGAACCATGGTCAACCATGGTCCAGCACCCTTAGCCACCACGCCACCTGCTGGCCCCAGAGATGTCATCTTACGTGGAAGGCGCATCCTAAGCCTTGCAGACGTGACTGTGTCGTGACCAGCACCAGGAGGCAATCAGATTAGTTCTGCCCAACCGTCAAGGGTTGTCTCTGTGTGTGCTAGTTGAGGAGAGCTGAAGCACTGGGAGGGTCTGAGGGCCCCAGGCCGACAGACTGACGCTCACACACTGTGTCTTCCAGGTGGTCGAAAAAGGAAGAGGTCATCGGATGGGGAGAGAACCTCGGAGGAGAACTCCAATTTAACGCCTCTCATCACATGACCGGGCAAAGACGGCATTCGTGGGGCGTGTGGGATTCCAGAGCTTTGGGGGAGAACCCACCCTCTCACCCTCTGCTTCCCCGAGGCCTCCCCCAGGTGACAGAGCATCTGCCTTCCTCTCCACCCCTCGCTGCCAGTTTGGCGCCTTTTCCCTCATTGCCTCCAGTTGGATTCAGAGCCTCGCCGTGGCCAGTAGAGAAGGAGGTGCCTTTAATGGAACATGCTAGAAATGATCTTGTCCACGGCACGGTCTGGGACTGGAGAAGAGGGAACCCCAAGCTGACAGTGCCACTCTGGGACCCCTGGTGTTCTCTGGGGTCCCCTGATACCATATGAGACCCATGTCCTGGGACGCACCATTCTGTCCTCCAGAGCAAAATGGTAACTTTCGACCACATCTCATACTTAGCTTAGCTCAGAGGGCGCCGCTGGCAGCCGGGCACCGAGGTGGAGCTCAAGTGTGCAGGCTAGTTCAGGGGCTGGACCAAGAATTCCTCTCGAGCGTTAGAGCAATAGGCCTCGGCCACGTTGGTGGGTGACGTGACAGTGCAGTCGGTGACTGGTTTCCTGTCACAGAAGGGTCCCAGCAGCTCGCTGAAGTGTGTCTCAGCTGGAATGGAAGGAATGTGAGAGGGAACCTCAAGTCACTGTTGTTCCCAGGGACACATCTGCTTTGGCTCCTGGTCAGCAGACATCAGTCAATCAATCTGCTATGGAAAAGGAGAAGCAGAGGGACGCAGTTGGGAGCCAGAGATGGAACTTCACGTTTTAAGTGCAAATCAAAAGAAAAAAAAAAAAAAAAAAAAAAAAAAAAAAAAAAAAAAAAAAAAAACCTTATATGGAAAAATTACAAGCTGTGAAAGCAAGTTTAGCCATGGTACACCAAAGAGTGCCCAGGTCAGCCAGGAAAGATGCATGTTCTCGTGGGATTTCAGCGCGCATTACACAGGAACGTTGACTCATCCTTCCTTTTCATCCTTTCCCCACCGCACCCCAGGAAGTTGGCTAAGTATGGTTTATGGGGAAAACAGGGATCTCTGGGTTTTCTCCTGTTTCGTCGGCGCAAGTGCAGTTCCAAAAATAACCACCAGATGGCAGAATGACTGCACACACCTGCTTCCAAGAATAACATGGTTCAGATCGGGAACCGCAAGCCTTAGGGGAAATCTGGAAATGAAGTTTGTCTTTGGGACTCCTGCCTCCCTTTCTGACCTGTCTCCCATGCCCTCAGCCAGGTGCCCAGTGATCCACTGCTCCCAGATCTCCAAGCCCTCCAACTCCCCCTCTGTGATATACCATCCATGTTTACTTCCCGTTCCCCCAAAACCACCACTCCCACCTTCCCACACTCATTCAATCCATAATCGTGCGGGGAGATAATTCCTCCAGGTTAGAAAATGCTTACCCACGGGAACATATAACTCAGGGGTTCTTAATTTGGGGTTTATCACCCCAGGGGGTCTATGGTTGGACTCCAGAGGGTCTAGGAAACTCCTAAAACTGTCAGAATTGTGTGTGTGTGTTCCGTGTGTGTTTTCCAGAGGGTTAAAGCTTTCATTAGATTCGCAAAGGTCTCAGACTCACAAAGGAGTTGTAAAAAGCACTGTTTCAAATAGTGGGACTTCCACCCCGAGTTTCTGCAGTGCAGAGTGGAGTGAATCCCGGGCCGTTCACGTCAGATTTTAAATTGTAGGTGGTCTTCTCCAGTGTCCATCAATCCACGGGGAAGGCTGACACCCACCAACAAGTGGGAGTCCTCAGAAATTCTTGGCCCACCCTGCAGCATTGTACAACCCCCCACCCTCGTGACTTGCCTCTCCCCCCCACCCCAAACCAGAGCAGGTGTGACGGCGCGGTAGGAGGAAACGAGCTGGCTTTTCCAGCAATGGTCATTGACTTCGGTGCACCCTCTGCCTGGCCCAGCCCAGCCTGAGGCTCCACAGTGCATGACTTCTCGTAGATGGCTCCACGCCACCCGCCAACGCTGCCCTGGCCTGGTAGGAACAGGCCAAGCATCAGCCCTCGGTGCTGGATGCCCAGCCTCAAACCAATAAGCGAGGGTTCTGGGAGAGAACCGCCACCATGCAGTCTTCTTGCCCGGCCGGCCACTGCCCCTGGGGGCTGGCCTGGCCCATCCTCCCTGCCCTCGCTCCAGTTCCCCTGGGCTGCTAGGCTCAGGCACCCCGGTTGCACCTCACCCATCCCTTTGCAGAATCCCTAAGGAGCCTGTCACCACTCCTCTCCTTCCTACCTACCCTCACCCCACAGAGATTTTCTTCAGGTTAAAAAAAAAATAAGTTTAAAAAAGAATTTTAAGATAAAGCATTTATGAAGACTCAAAGTGTAAATAATTTTTAAATAAAATGAAAATGCCTTTCCTGGAACGTGGCTATTTTCCTTGCCCTTGGAGTCTCGGAGTTCCAAAGGGGTTTCGTTTGAGATGCGGGTTGGGTGGTGCACGTGGCCTTATCTCCCATGGGCCCACTGCCGGGTGACAGGAACGCCCCAGCTCTCCACTTTAGGAGGCCGGCCAGACAGGTGAGATTCTGCAGGACTGAGCGAATGCCAGAAATGGGAGGTAAAACCCAAATGAGAAGCCGGAGTGTGCCCGAGGACGAGCAGGGGCGCGACAGCAGTGATGAGAACCCACATGATGGGTAAGGCACAGGGGCCTTCCGAGGTCCCAGGCCCAGGGGCCAAGCCCAGAGGAGCCCGAGACAACGCACTGGCCACACAGGCTGGCTCCTGTGGGCGACCTGGAAAGCAGTCAAAATGGCAGGGCTCCCGCGGTTTAGCCGACGGCTAGTGAACGTCCCGAGAGTGGATCCGTGGGGGTCAGTTTTAAACTGGTACGAAAGGGAAGGAGCTGGACGTGGGGGACATGTCCAGGCACCTACTGCCTTTTGGAAGGAAGGTTGGAATTTGACACCTAAATTAATTTCTCAAACTGGCAAACAGGACAATGAGTGGCCTCCCCAGAACAACTTAAGATTCTTCCCAGGAACCTCAGTGGAGGCCGTTGGGTTCACTGACCGAGTAACGCGATGACCTTGCTGAGGGCTGTGTGTGCAAGTGTGGTGCCAAGCGCCCTCAGCTCCTCTCTCAAAACCCCCCGCACAGGTGCTAGGATGATGGGCACCGAGCGGCCACGCGGCGTGCTCCAGGTCACCACCCCAGAGCTGGCGAGCCTGGGGTCTGCGCGCCCTGCTCATGGACGGCCGGAATGCCAGGACCGTCCACGCGCTGCAGTTTACAGAGCAGGTCAGCATGTTGGAGGCCTCTGGAGTCCTGCTGCTCCCAAGCACGTCGCCCTTTCTTCATGTTCACAGTCACGGAAGGGGCCGGCAGATGGTGTAGCGGTTAAGGCACTTGGACTCCCACACTGCCGACTGGTACGAGTCCCGGACCTGGTGGCTTGCTTTCTCGCTTCCTATTATTCTCTCTCTCTCTCTCTCTCTCTCTCTCCCTCGCACATGGGACTATAGCAAGTTTTTAATATAATAAAAGTAAATAGGTAATTATTTTTAAAAACTAGTCATGAGAAACTACAACACAGCAGGGGATATGCTGACCAAAATATATGTGAGAATACACTCAAGTGGGTCAAATTCCCGTTGTGAAGTCGGGCTTTCTTTTTACATACACATATATAAAGATACATATATACATATATACTCTTTGCTATAAGGTGCATTTGCACTTGCCAGAGAAAGAGCAAGAGAGAGAAAACTCCCCCGGGTGATGGCCGTGCTACAATCCCTTCTCCATTTTCCTCTCCGGATTTTGGGCGCACACACACACACATGCCTGGAGTGTTTTTCAACCCACCAGGTCCAGGGCTAGAACCACAATCAGCCACCTTACCCACACCACCAGCTGGTCTGCTTTCCTTAAATGCTAAAACACTGATCACTGTGGTTCTGGCACCTAGGGCTTAAAGACATATTTAACGGTGTTTACTTCTCATGGCTTCAAAAGTCTTCCCTCAAGAGAAAAACTTTAACACAAGAAATTAGATACACTACTAAGAAGTAGGGTGTTGCTGGATACGACCACTCTGGAGGGTCACAAACCACTTTACTGTATCAAAACCTTTCCGCCCCAAGAACCAAGCTCTGCCCTGTGGAAGTACTTCCTTCCCCGTGGAGAATGCGTGGTTCAACGCTGTTTGGAGAGAGCAGAAGATTGTCAGAAGAGAGAACCATGCGACTTTCCTAAATTATGAGCATCTTTTTTTAAGCAATTATTTTATTTTGGGACCAGCAGTTGGCATAATGGCTATGTCGCTGGACACTCATGTAGTCGACCGCAGTTCGAGTCCCAGACCTAGTGACTTAAACTCACGCCGGGCGCGTGTGCGTGCGTGCCCAGGATCCCGAGAGGAGAATGGAGGAGGAGGGATTGCGGCGTGACCATCCCCCCTGGGGGGTGATTTCTCGCTTTCTGTCTTTCTGGTGAGTGCACGCACCCTTTAGCAACAACCTCTCAAAAAATTTTTATTTTTATTCATTCATTTTAATTTGACCAGAGAGAGAGAAACCCAGCCACCAGGTCCAGTCCTCAAAACCATGGTCACTCATGTGTGAGTGTCCAGCACCTTAACCACCATGCCACCTGCTGGTCCCCAATAATGAGCATCTTTAAACTGGAAGAACAAATATTGATTTAAAAGAAAAAAAAAAAAAGAACAGAGAGCAGGGCGAGAGAAGACCATCTACTCGCCTGCGTTCACATCCGTCAGCCCAATGACTCACTCGCAGACACAGGGTCTCCTGGAGGACCGTGGAGGTGCTAGCCAGATGGTGAAGGATGTGAACACCATGTCCTGTGCTGCAGAAAACACCGCAGAATGGGGCAGAAGGCCAGGAGGTTCATGTGGAAAAGCAGGAACCTCAAATATCTGGAAGGCTGTCAGCAGAGCCAGGAGGGAGGAGAGCGGCAGGGAAGGAATAGAGATCTAATTCTGCCTCAAGGTAAGAGCTCTTTTCATTAATGGGCTCAACGGGATGGGGACGCCTCACCACGTATCGGAAGCCTGGACCACCTCCCCCAGTTGAAAATGGAGAGTCAGGGATAGGAGAGAGACGGCCACTGGGGGGGAGGGGCTGGGCCCAACGACTCCTAAGTCCCAATCACGCTTGGAGACTTTTATAACCCAGAGTCCTAGGAAGGAAGAGTCCTGTGAAAAGGAAGTATCTCCAAATATTTCAAAATTCCAAATAAGAGCCTTCTTGTTTTAAATAAGATTCAGTCCCACGAAATTCTACAAAAGTGCCATGGAAAGTGCCCGATCTATGTTTAAACGACGAACTGTCTCAATAGAAGGCTGGTGTTTCAGCACACCCTGGCGGGCCAGCGGGTGGGATGGTGGTTACGGCGGCTGGATCCCACATGGCCATCTGCATGGTGTGAGTTCCAGATTCAGGGACTTGAAAAACCTATTGGGCGAGTGCGTGTGCCAAAATCCTGAAAAGGAGACAAGGAGGGGGGGGAATGCAGACTGACCATGCCCCATCGGGGTGCTAATACTTGCTTTCCTTCTTTCTCACTCTGTCTCTCCAGAGAGTGCCCACAGTTTCTGGCAAATTAAAAAAAAAAAAAGAGGAATTAACCTGAGAGATAGGATCCCAC